CATGTATAATTATTACACATAGAAAAATGACTGGAAAATTACACACTAAAATATTAATAATGGTAAACTGTGAGATTTGTAAGAGTGGTAATTTTTACATTTTCCTCTCCTATGGTTTTCTTTACAATTCTACAAAAAGTATGTACCATTTTTGTTCAAAAAATTATTTTAAATTTTGCATAAGAATTTTATAATGAAATGAAATTGTTCACAATATGTAGTGAAGTCAAAACACTGGTTACAAAACTTTTTTTGGTTTGATCCCATCTAGGGAGAAAGCACACAGACAAAAAAAGATGCAGATAGCCCTGAAAATGCTACTGTGAGATCACAGGGGATTTTTGCGTACTTCTTTTTGCTTAAGTATTTTCTAAATTTATCCATAGCACTACTTTTTTTAATAATGAAAGATGGTGAAACTTTTATTTTATTTTAAGAAGAAAGCTTTGAAGATCTACTGCTTGCTTAAATTCAGACAGACCTTACGCTCTTGTTCATGGCTGTATTCCTGGTGCCTGGACAGTGCTAAGCTCATAGTATGCATTCAATAAATATTTACAGAATAAATGAATGAGTGAATGAATGAATGAACAAAGAGTGTTCATTGAACAGATGGAAGAGATAAAGCAGAACACTCAGCCTCCAATTTTTATTTGCTCCTTCTCTGTCCATTGTATAATAGACATAAAACCAAAAAACCAAACCCGCTGCCGTCGAGTTAGTTCTGACTCATGGAGACCCCATGTGTGACAGAGTAGAACTGCTCCATAGGGTTTTCTTGGCTATAATCATTATGGAAGCAGATCGCCAGACCTTTTTCCCACAGTGCTGCTGGATGGGTTAGAGCCGCCAACCTTTAGGTTAGCAGCTGATCACAAACTGCTTGCACCACCCAAGTACCCCGTAATGTACATAGAAAGGACATAATTACCATAGACAAGAAGAAATTGAAGCCCAAAAAGGATTGTAAGGAGTTTTTGTGCCTTGGCCTGGTTAAAGTGCTTTCTAGGGGCTGAGACAACGTATGGTAAAACTGCTAACATTTATGGATTCTTGGGATGCAGAGAGGTTGTAGAATACTGAAGACAAGGAAACAGCAACCAACTTTCCAAGACAGAAAGAGGAAAGAAAATGGAGTCCATGAACTTCAGAGTGGTCATCACCTCAATTCTGGGCCAGATTCTATGCCTGTGCGATTATTAAGAAACCCTTTGTTGCACAATTCAGGGGAAGTCAGCACAACTGGACTAAACCAAAGCTAAGAAGTTTCTTGAATACAACCAAACACTTCGAGAGACGGAGTAGCAGGGGCAGGGGTCTGGGGACCATGGGTTCAGGAAACATCTAGGTCAACTGGCATAACAAATGTTATTAAGAAAATGTTCTGCATCTCATTTTGGTGAGTGGTGTCTGGGGTCTTAAAAGCTTGTGAGCAGCCATCTAAGATGCATCAATTGGTCCCAACCCACCTGGAGCAAAGGAGAATGAAGAACACCAAAAACACAAGGCAAATATTAGCCTAAGAGACAGAAAGGGCCACATAAACCAGAGAATCCATAAGCCTGAGACCAGAAGAACTAGATGGTGCCCACCTACCACCAATGACCGCCCTGACAGGGAACACAACAGAGTGTCCCTGACGGAGCAGGAGAAAAGTGGGGTGCAGAACTCAAATTCTCATAAAAAACCAGACTTAATGGTCTGACTGAAACTAGAGGAACGCCAGAAGATATGACCCCCAGACTCTCTGTTAACCCAGAAGTAAAACCACTCCCGAAGCCAACTCTTCAGACATAGATTAGACTAGACTATAAGATATAAAATGATACTCGTGAAGAGTGTGCTTCTTAGTTCAAGTAGATATGTGAGACTAAATGGGCAGCTCCTGTCCAGAGGCGAAACGAGAAGACAGAAAGGGACAGGAGCTGGTTGAATGAACACGGGAAATCAGAGGTGGAAAGGAGGAGTGTGCTGACATATTACAGGGATAGCAAGTAGGGTCACATAACAATGTATGTATAAATTTTTGTATGAGAAACTAACTTGAGCTGTAAACTTTCACCTAAAGCACAATTTAAAACAACAAAAAAAAAAGCCTAAAAATAAATAAATAAATAAAAAAGAAAACCTTGTTGGCGCTTTAAAAGGAAGTGTGATCATGACAAGCCAGCAGGGGTGCAGCTAGGTTGAGGCAGGCCTGAATACCCCATTTTCTCCTCAGGTGGAGATGGACACCTGGGGATGGGTGGGCTGACGAGAACCGTAGCCAAGAGATCTGGTCTTCAGCTTTCAACTACAATATCCTGGGATCAGCTGGGAAACCGGTACAATACAGGAAACTAACGTACAGTCTAATGTGGCTTGCACCACTGTTGTATGAACAAATGTGCAAAAAGGAAAAAACACGAACACTTTTGAGTCTGAATCCTCCCTAAGCCCTTAACCCCCAACCCCAGCCCTTCTCCTTCAAAAAGGGGAAGTAGGACCACACAAACAAGGCTAAAGCTCTGGGAAGAGGGCAAATGTTTCTTACTGAAGCATAGAAGGCAGATGACTTAATGTTATCAGTAACTTAGATTCAAGAGCCCAGGAGTTGCCATAGAGGCCCCAAGCAATTATAGGATTCAGTTTCTTTCCTTCTTCCTGGACCCACATCTGTGTGTATGCCCATATCCTCCACATCTGATCCTCCTCTGACCTAAAGGACAAGGGCCACTTGGAGGTCTGTACTAGTTTTGCCTGTCTCTCCCTCTCTCTTTGAATTTATGAAGGATGGGGACAGACACTGCTCCCACTTATGCTCTTGATTGGTTGGGAGAACATGGGCAGTCTAGACCCTCTCCATCCACCTAGAAGAGGGAGAGTGAACTCCACGAGGGAAGCATCCATGGTCTTCTCATCCTTGCTTTCTCTTAAACCAACTGACAAGCGTTCATGTTAAATTTATCCACCAAGAGGGCCTGCTGTTCAGGATAGTTACCCAGGGCCCCACAGGAGTGACAGCCACGTTGGCTTGCTTTGTCAGTGCCTGTTGTGCCAATGTGGATGAGATGACAGTGAAATGGGATGTCAACTGTTGAATGACCAGACCCAAAGCACCTGGATGATGGATCTCATCTCCAAACACTCTCGCCCTCACTGACTTCTCCCCAGTCGCCTGCTCTATTTATCCTTCAAATGCTCCAAGCCCATTCCCACCTCAGGGCCTTTGCACTTGCTGTGCCCTCTCCAAGGACACACTTCCCCGAGATATGTGCAAGTCTGGCTCCTTCTCAACAAGCAGGTTCCAGCCGAAATGACACCCCCTCCAAATGGGCTCTCCTGACCATCTTATTAAGTAACTCCCCCACTCAATCTTCAGGGTCTCTCTTTTATTTTCTTCTTAGTTTTTAACCCTATCTCCTATTACCTTGTTTGTCTGACTCCCCCAGGAGACTTTGAGAATCTGAAGAGCAGGGACCTGGCCTTTCTTGTCTACCTCTGTATCCCTAGCCTAGAATGTGCCAGGCATATTGTAGAAGCTCAGTAACATCTGCTGAATGAATGAACATCAGCCCTGAGGAAGATCTCAATACAAACACATAAGTAAGTTTCCACTCATTTAAATCATTTATGTTATGTACTTCTCTCAGTAACCATATGAAGCTTTTAAAACGGAATTAAATTTAATTTTTTAATTAAATTACTCAAAAGTTCCCATAGCTTATAAGTGGTAGATTCCAGGACAAAAATGATACTTCTGACTAGATTAAAATCTCCTGCTCTTTCCATTAGAATAATGGTTTAAAAAAAAAAATTTTTTTTCAACATGGGAACATTTTCTTTACAAACAAACTTTACCCAGAACTCCATCATATAAAACTGATAAAAACACAGGTGCTTAATTTGAATTTGGTGGGGGTGGAGGTGGAGGGCAGGTGACCAACTCATCACAGTTGCCCGGGACTTTTCTGACGTTAGTGCTAAAAGTCCCACATCCTAGGAACACTCTCTGTCCCAGGCAAACTAGGATGATTGGTCATTCTACCTCCTAGTCTCCAAACCTGTGTGGTCCCTGAGCAGGGACCCTGCACAACAACTCCAGGGTAGAGAGATGCAATTGTGTTCTAGGGGCACCTATCCTTTCACTGTACTGTGAATGAAGCTCCCCAGGAGTTGTGCTGGTGGGAACTGGCCCAGTGACTTCCAGGGAAGGGAGTGGATGAAAACACCTGCATACTGCACTAGCGCACACTACATCAACACTGTCTCACTGACCCGCCTCTGGCTCCCCCAGCTCTACCCAGAAGGAACTCAGCTCTCAGCCCCAGTCCCTGAGACAATCATGGCAGAGCAGACAACCCTGTGTACCTTCTTTAGTTTCCAAGCCTTAGATCAAGCTCCCTGTGCTATGAAGAGGGCAGCAGGTTGAAGCTCAGCCTAGGTGAGAGGTTCCAATCTTGGCTGGTGAGGCCCAGCCATCCCAGGATCCCCTCTGGACCCAGCTCCCCACTCCCAGCCCCCATCAGGCCTTGAGCTGGAGCTGGACACAGCAGTGACCCACACTCCTAATCCTCTTGGGCCCTGGAGTTGCTAAAACCTGAGACAGTCATCCAGGCCTCTGTCCTCATGGCCCACACCTGAGGAAAGGCTCACGTGGAGGAGGCTAAACCTGTTTCTCTGGAGGGGCGGAGAGGAGGGCAGTTTCCACCCTAAAGCCCTTGCTGTGTAGGTCACCTCCATCACCGCCCTTCAGCAGGAGGCCAAATGTGACAACTCAGATCTTCTCTACCTTCTACTTTCCTTTGAACTTGTCTCAGTTCTCCTATTTTTGATATCTTATGATGCCGGTTATAATTCGGAAGAATGAAACTCTTGCTGTCGTCTGGGATTTTTCTGTCTTGTGACTTTCTGACCAGCAGCTATTATAAAGGAGGCTCAGAGCCCAGACTTCAAGGAGTCAGAGAGCCCAGCAGTCTTCAGCAAAGTCCTGTTCCTGCAGCTGGTCACCCACCAGAAGGATGAAGGTCAGCCTGGCTACCCTGGCCTTGCTCCTCACTGTTGCTGCCCTCCACACTGAAGCTGACAGAGGTGAGACCTATTATCCTTCCATTCCTCTGACCATCTGTATGAGGAACATGAGAAAGCAGTGGCTAAAAGTGTGGGGCTGCAAGGAGGGGAGGCAGGTGGTTCAGGGAAAGGCAGCCTGGGGGTCCGTGGAAAACAGGAGCATTTCCCTCATTCCTGGGCAGGACTGACTTTCTAGACCTGGGGAGGGGATAATCTACCTCTGCTCCACTCTGAATACAGTCTATGTAGTCCTTGTGTCCACAGACCATGGAGAAGACAAGCTGGCTCAGAATCCTCCAGCCTATCATCTCAGAGGCCTCCTAGGGATACACGGGAGCCTCTGGAGCCAGGTGTAAGAGTAGGCTACGAGAGAGGATCAAACTGTTTTCATGGCTTGTACAAGTTTTAAAATATTTCAGTTAGTAACCAACATTTAAAAATTGGGACATTCCATACTAAAAATCTGTATTTCCAGTTTCTTTTGCAAATATGGAAGAACAGGTGAATCTGGGCCCAGGTTTCCACAAGCTAATTTCGACTGGCACTTGCCCCATCTGTTATTATTTGCAGTTTTAAGGGCACAGCCTCAGATAGGGTGAATGTTCTGTTCCAGGTCACACAACTTTCAGGAGCAGAAACAAGGACGAGTCTAGTTTTCTTGCTTCATGGTCAAGGCACTGCTCCACTGGGACAGACAAAGCTCCTCCTTCCTGTCGAATTTCCTGGAGGCCTTTGCAGGAGGGTGGGGATTTTTCTTTTGCAAAGGAACAGTCCTGCTCTGTTGTGACCCACCCTGGGCACCAGTTAGTTCTCTCCTGTGAGAATTCTTTCTCAGCATTTCTCAGAAAATTTATGTTTTTCTAAATCCATGCTTGGCTGCTAACCAAAATAAGTCCTTAAATTACAATTTCAACTGTGATTCTTGCTAGGAAATCTGAGTAGTAAGCTATTTGAACAATAATATTCACTGGCATTGTCTACTGTTTGAATATTTGCTACAGGCTATAAACCAAAAAAAAAAAAAAAAAAATCATTGCTGTCAAGTCGATTCTGACTCATCTCAGTCCCCTCAGGACAGAGCAGAACTGCCCCATAGGGTTTCCAAGACTGTAATCTTTACGGAAGCAGACTGCTACATCTTTCTCCATGGAGTGGCTGGTAGGTTCAAACCACCAACCTTTCGTTAGCAGCCGAGTGCTTAATCACTGCGCCACCAGGACTCCTTTCTACAAGCTATAGTTCTTTGTAAATACTTTCACAGAAGAAATACAAAGAGAAAATATGAATGTCAAAATGACAGCACTAAACTCATACCTATCAATAATTCGGCTGAATGTAAACGAACTAAATGCACCAATAAAGAGACAGAGAGTGGCAGATTGGATAAAAAAGCACGATCAGTGTATATGTTGCTGTCATGGATTGAATTGTGTCCCCCAAAAAATGTGGGTAGCAACTTGGCTAGGTCATGATTCCCAGTATTGTATGATTGTGTTATCTGATGTGATTTCCTTATGTGTTGTAAACTCTACCACTATGATGAGATTATATGTGGTCTCCTCATGTGTTATAAATTCTATCACTGTGATGAGGTTGTACTGATGAGGTTGACAAGATTACTGTCTTAATGCGATCTCTTTTGAGATATAAAAGAGAGAAGTGAGCAGAGACACATAGGAATCTCGTACCACCAAGAAAGCAGTGCTGGGAGCAGAGCACGTCCTTTGGACCTGAGGTTCTGGGCAGAGAAGCTCCAGACCAAGGGAAGACTGATGACACGGACCTTCCTCCAGAGCCGATGGAGAAAGCATTCCCCTGGAGCTGAAGCCCTGAATTTGGACTTGTAGCCTACTGGACTGTGACAGAATAAACTTCTCTTTGCTAAATCCATCCACTTGTGGCATTTCTGTTGGAGCAGCACTAGATAACTAAGACAGTTGCCTACAAAAGACACCCCTTAGACTTAAAGACACAAACAAACTAAAACTCAAAGGATGGAAAAAAATATATCAAGCAAACAACAATCAAAAAAGAGCAGGAGTGGCAATAGTAATCTCTGACAAAATAGACTTTAAAGTCCACCACGAAGGATAAGGAAGGACACTATATAATGATTAAAGGGTTAATACACCAGGAGGACATAACTATAATAAATATTTACCCACCCAATGACAGGGCTCCAAAATACATAAAACAAACTCTAACACCACTGAAAAGAGAGATAGACAGCTCCACAATAGTAGTAGGAGACTTCAACATGCCACTTTCAGTGAAGGACAGAACATCCAGAAAGAAGCTCAGCAAAGACACAGAAGAGCTAAATGCTACAATCAACCAACTTGATCT